GACTGGCTCACTTGATAATTGCCCTGTTCTGTTCATTCTCTCTGAAGAATCTGGCACTGGCCACTGTCAGAAGACAGGACACTGGGCTAGATGGACCATTGGTCTGTCCTAGTATGGCTGCTCTTATGGTCTTATAATCAAGAACATAGAGGATTGGTTTTCTTTCCCCTTATCGGCTCCTCATCCGTAGTTTCGTATACTACACACCCCGTCTTCCTATGCCAGGTGCAGTCTGCCCTGAACGCAGCCTCAGTGCAAAACTAGGCAGGGCCCAGTCTGTGCTGTTCCATGTGCACCTCTAGGGCTCCCTCTGGTCAGTTTCCACCTTGACAGGCTCTCGGTGAATATCCGTAAATCCGTGGAGGAACTGCTGGATCCAACAGTGTCACGATGGGGTCCTCCTGGGATATTCTGCCTTTGCCCTCCGGGTAGCTCAGCAATCACTTTGTCCCTTTGGGTAGGGAGCTATGGTAACAGGGATCATATAAGAACCATGTAAGAGCATGGGTAGCTATACAGAGGGATCTCTGTGGAGATGGATAGATAGATGATAGTAACGACTATGCAGGCACCAGGCTGTGATCACTTCTCCTGCAAACTCTGCACTCCCTCTCTTTTTTGTTACCCTTTGTGTCACCCCCCCCCCCGTCCTCCCCACCATCCCGATCTGCTCGCTTGTCTCGTCCACCCGTTGGGCCTTGTCCCGTAGCCTGTCATCTCTGTGGGGCAGGGACTGTCACTTTGTGTCACAACAGGGCCCTGACTTGCCTGGCCTCTAAGCAGTACTATAATATAAAATGTTAATTCCTCCTCCAAACAGACAGACAGACAGACAGACTGTCGTCTTGGTGTGTAAGTACTGGTAAAGGTAATGGAAAGGCAACCCACTGCCCCCTTCCCTTTATTTCCCGTAAGCCTATTGTCTCCATCATTTTGATTCTATACTTTATCCCACGACTTCTCTCTCTCTTTCTCCTCATCCTTATCTCTTGATAGGTACAAGTGATACAACCAGAAATGTTCATGTAACAAGCTGCCTGCTGTTAAACGCCCAAGAGAACACCAGCTCAGTAGGATGATGTATGAAAACAGAGCGAGGGGAAAGCAGGGAGCGTAGCAGTGCACAAGTCATAGGCAATAATGAATGCCAGGGCCGCAGCTCCTCTGGCAGAGCGGCGAGAGCCCCTTTGAGCCCCAGCTGATCTGAATGCACAGTCTCCTGTGCTGCCAGCAAGCAGATGAAATATGCACCGGCGGGGCGAGGACGTTCTCACACATCATGGGAGACCAGCCAGTGTGTGATACTGCAGAGCCCCTAATGCGATCTCCCTGCGTGGCCATTGATTTCCATGGAATAACCCAGCCGTGTGTGTAATTGTGTGCAGATATTGTAGCCTCTTTTACATGCTATTCTGCAGGGCCCTCGCTTGCAGGAAATGAAACTTTTCAGGCCATTAGACATTTATTTTGTTTCTTGAGCTGTTAATTTTTTTTTCTTGAAAGACAGATCCAGGGGGAAAAGACTTTAAAAAATATGGGGGGAGGGTCACACTTCATAGGAGATTCCCTATGTAAGTGGTTTATAAAGGGTTAATAGCTGTTATAAGCATGTTATGGGCGTGAGTAGTGTGTTACAGATGGTTCTAAGCACTTCAGTAGAAGTTGCTATATAGATGGTTATAAACCATGATGCAGCCGATGAAGTGAGCTGTAGCTTATGCTCAAATAAATTGGTTAGTCTCTAAGGTGCCACAAGTCCTCCTTTTCTTTTTGTGAATATAGACTAACACGGCTGCTACTCTGAAATAAACCATGATTGTAAGCAACCTATTGACCTATTCCAGGGGTTCTCAAACTTCATTGCACCGCGACCCCCTTCTGACAACAAAAATTACTACATGGCCCCAGAAGGGAGGACCGAAGCCTGAGCCCCACTGTCCCAGGCCGGGAGGCCAAAGCTAAAGCTCAAGGGCTTGAGCCCCAAGCCGGGGGCCTGTAATCTGAGCCCTGCTGCCCAGGGTTGAAGCCCTGGGGCTTTGGCCCCTTGCGGTGGGGCTCGGGCTTTGGCTTTGGCTCCAGACCCCAGCACCTCTAAGCCAGCCCTGGCGACCCCATTAAAATGCGGTTGCGACCCACTTTGGGGTCCCGACCCACAGTTTGAGAACTGCTGACCTATTCTATTCTATTCTGCGCTTATCTGAGCACTTTCCAGTCATGTATTAACCATGTAGTAAAGCGTCTCTTACTCACGAAGTAACCATTTATACCATTACTATGCCATACTATCATCATTATCTTCATCAAGCCAAATCCCAGCGGGACATAGTTTCCTTACAGACTGAGCATGTCCTGGCTCCATCTCTAGCTGGGTCCTTAGGTCTGGCTGGATGGTCCGTCTGTGTCCACCATTGGCGATCCTATGGTGCCATTGAAAAGTCTGGCAACCATGTGATCACTGGCCATGTAGCGCCATTCCTTGGTAAAGACGCTTCGTAATTCGCGGGTCTTCATCCGACTGTACTATGCTATTTATAAATGGGTCCATAACATAAAATGTGACCAGGTTAGGTGTATATAATGTGTTGACCACATCACCCCACTTTGTGTATCCCTCTGCTGGCTCCACCACTTCAAACACCAGCTACTTGTCTTTGCTTTTAAGGCCCTTCACAGCCTACCCTTGTGCTGTGTTCTCTCTCTGATAGTCTGCAGCCCATGGCCTATCCGCCAATTAGGTCTCACTCAAGCTCATAGGCCCATGTACCACTCAAGAGCCACTTAATCCCAGAGGTGTTAAGTGGGACGTAAGTGGCGCATAGACCTTGGGCAGGCTCTCTGCACAGCAGAGAATTTCTTCCCCCAGTGATTGTCATGTTTCCCGCAGACGCTTGCCCAGCACAGGAGCTAGAGACTGCCGCAGCCTGACAATGTTTGGCTCCGGATTTTGCTCAAACCCAACTCCTGACGGGTCTGGATCTCAGGGGTGGGGTGGTTGAGGCTCCTCTGGATCATTGTGGCCTTTTTTTTGGTCTCCTGCTCCCGTAGCCTGGCTGATATCAGGAGACTTGAAGAGGGGGCATCAGAACTCAGTTCTCCCCAGGGGATGGGGTCATGCATTGACTTTGGGGTGGGCAGGGCTGGCCAAAAGCTTAGTGTAGATGGAGCCTGCTGGGAGAAATTGCCAGACTGGATCAGAACCCAGGTCCATGTAGGATCCCGAGAGCCCCAGAGCTTGGGATCCAGCCTGAACCCAAACGTCTACACTGTAATTTTATAGCCCTGCGGCCACTGACCCGGGCCAGCTGCGGGTGTTAAATTGCAATGTAGACATACCCTGTGAGTCTTTTTCGCTCTCTTTCTCCACCCCCACATCCGCCTGTCCTGCTAGAGTGACCCGCTCCCTTCAGCCCACAATCTTAATGTAGCTCAGCCCACGGTGCTTTGGAGAGACGCAAAGACCCATTTGTATCCACCTCCACGACTCCGAGCTGGTACTTGATTCCAGTCCTTTTCCAGCCCAGAGAGCTTTAATAGGGAGCGATTTCTCTCCGAGTCAGAGAACGAGCCTCCATTCTCCCTTTGTGCGCTCCTCTCGCTCTAGGTAACCGGCATTATATTCGGACCAATTGCTCCAGCATGAACCTCATGAAAGTTGCACAGCATGGACGCGGCGTGTTATGTAAAATACATGCCCCTGCGCAAACCTCTTAATAGGAATGTCTCCTACCCAACCAGGTGGGGGGGAAGCAACGCTCTGGCATCTCGATGGCAGAGGACGATTGAACCAAGCTAGGGCTCTCCATAGGAAACACCCCACTGAGGAGAGCAACGTATTTTCATTTCACTGCCAGGTAACAAATGAAAAGAATTGCAATGAATGCTAATGACTGAGACCGCCATGGTCCTTTTCCGGTGCATTCAGTCGCAAGGCGGGGTCTGGGGATGGCATGACGGAGCTGGCAAGGGCCTGGCCATACAGGTTTGATGCAGACAGGAGGTGGCCCTGAGTCAAGTGCCCAGATCCAAACCATTGAGACTTGGATGGAATCTTAACGGCCAGCCCTGGTGAAGTCAACAGGATCCTTTCCAAAGAACCCACCTGGTCTGGAGGCCAAGGGGAGTCAGCAAAACTTACTGCATCCCAATGCAGGGAGCTAGATCCTGTCTCCTCATCACACAGAGTAACCTAGGATCACATGTACCTGAGATGGACAAGGCCCTCTGTGTAAGTTTAGACTCTGCTTTCCTGGCCAATGTTAGGCTGCCCCAATGCAGTCTGTTCTCCAGCACTCGCACCGGGCCAGCTTGAGCCCCCTTTCACTGTCTCATGTATTTATTTACACACGCACTGGTCTCAGAACCCAGATCCAGAGCCATGACTCATGTCCTGAGCAAACACATGGTTTTTCTACCAGGGCCCAAAGGCCAATGAGCTCATGGTTCTGCCAGCCCCAAAGGGAAACAAGGATTCCCAGGTCAAGAATCAACCACTGAGAATATCCAGCTGTGGCTGCAGCACTGGGATGTTAAAATCAATGGCAATATCTCATCAGCTGACCTCCGGTCACACAGTGCTGAAAGGGCAGACTTCCATCGCTTTACTCCTGGCATCAATGAGAAGTGAATCAGAACCAGCCTCTGTAACCATTCAATAAATTATTCTCTTGTCCCATGAATGAGTAACGGGACTGGGGTCAGGGCTTCTGGGTTCCATGCCCAGCTGTGTTGCTATCTAACTCTGTGACCTTGGGCATATCACTGCCCTGCTCTGTGCCTCGGTTTCCCCATCTGTGATGAGGGAATAATAATTACTCACCCTCGCAAGGCTGTTGGAAATCTCTGGGTAAAAAGTTGGCATGAAGTGATATTATTGTCTGCTTAGTTCTCATGCTATTTGGGGCACAAGATAGTGAAATGGGTCAAGTTTGGCCCCAAAATTAGGTTTTGTGAAAATAAAAAAACAAAAACAAAGAGCAAAAAAAAAAAAGTGTTTCCATGACTTTATTGTTTAATTCCATAATTTTTGCCTGGATTGAAATTTATCTGCATTTCCAGCCAATACCCCAGAGAGAGATTTCTCATAAGAACCTGAGAAACAGAGATCGAAAAGCGCCTTGCAGGGTTTACAGCTAGCCTGGTGCCAGTGAAAAAGAACCAGCAAGTGAAACTGACGACAAGTGAATGTGACTTGTCTCTTTCAATCATTCCAGATGAGTGACCTACAAAAAGCAAACAAACAGTGGTAAACAAACCAGGGAACAGGAGAGTGGGATTTTAAAAATTCGTCCAGGTTTTTTGGCTACGGTTAGGGACAGAGCCAAAAGCCGTTTGGGGATTTTTTTTGCTTTTGTTTTCGCTTATTTTGAAAGATAGCGAGCCAGTGCCGCGGCTGGTGCAAATTCTACACTAGGGGTTTGCTCTGGTACAATAAAATCCAGTTAATCCCTGCACTCAACAGTGTCCTTCGAATGTCCGGCTGAGTCAAAGCTAGCACGCGCTCAAATTCTACATTCCAAACACACGTTTAAGTCAATGGGATCAAAGTTAAGTATGTGCTTAAATGCTTGCTGAATTGGGGTGGGGGAAAGCGGGAGGGAGATTGGGGGGGGGTGGGGGGAAGAATGTGAAAACGGAGCAGGTGAGAGCGTCCTTACAGTTAAAGAACAGTGTAGCTACAGGAATACGGTAGTATCACTTTAAATAGCTTGTGAGGCTTCTAGTGGTGCTCACTGTGTTCTATGGGAGTAGCTCCAGGTGAAGTGTCTCTGTATTTCGTAAACACACTGTCCCACGTTGTCTTGGTTCTACAAAGAGCAAAAGATACAACCAAAAGAGAGACAATAAATAAGCAAACAGATAGGTTACGTCAACGGGGCTCAAAGTTCAGTATGTGCGTAAGTGCATCCCGAATAAAAGCCCCCAAAGAAAAATAAAATACAGCAAAAATATTTTTCCTTTCGCAACACGCAAACCAGCTTCCGCCACCCTCCCATGCAGCCTCCAGACACTTCGCAGTGGAAGCTACACCTCAGCTTGTGTTTATTTCATTTAAGGCCCCCCCCCCCGCCCTTTTCTGGGGGTTATATCCTCTCCTTCACAGCCCCGGCTAGGCAGGGAGCTCCGGGATTTTAATGGATAGCCCTGCCACTTAACCACGTCTTCTGCCTGGACACCTAAGGGCTGTGCCAAGCGGAGCTATTTGTAAATGTAGCCGGTTTGCTAAGCGGGAGGGTAAACACGGATGAGCAGCCTTCATCCACTCCAGTAAATATTTTATGTCGTGCACCAAGAAAAGACACTCCTATTTAAATGATTTATAAAGGAAGATCATGTAGAGGTTTCTATAAAATATGTAGGGCTCCTAATCCTGACAGCATCAAGCAAAGAGGACTAGACTCATATATTACCTTCTGGACAGGCTTGCAAGCTGCAGGGATACAACTGACAAATAAAAGTGTGTTTACAGCTTCTGGGCGACTCCGGGGAGCAGTAAATCAAAGTGAGGGTGGGGAAGGAGGGGCGGGGGGAGAAAGCTGGAAATTAAGTGGCAACTTCTGTCCGTCACAGTCCTCAAGGCTGGGGGCAGGGGCCAGATTCTGAGCTTCCCCACGGTGGGGATGATGGCATCGCAGCGCTTCCTGATTTACACCACTGCCAGGGAGCACTTTGTTTCTCCAGGAGGGGAAGGCTGGCTTGTTAATAACTAGGCTAAGGGCCAAGTTCTTACTCCACTGACGTACGCAATAGTCTTCGGTCTGGGTTTGTAGCGGGGGGGTGGGCCCTGGGCCATGACCGGGGCTCCCAGCCGCCATGGTAACACACTCGATAAATAATAACACTAATATTTACTATAATGGCCATAGCACCCGGAGGCCGCAGTCAGCATCAGGGTCCCACTGGGCTGGGCGATGCTCAGATGCATAGCCAGGCACTGTCCCTTAGAGGCTCACAATAGGATTGCTGGCCCCATGCCACCCAGGGGGGAAGGAGGCCCTGTGAGATCAGCCTGTGACGAGCTTGGGTGCTTGTAGCAGAGCCGAGCGCTGACCGCAGCGCTCCTAAGCCCCAGCTCAGTGCTCGAGCCACTAGCCCGACGTTCGTCGTCTCCCATTGCCTGTTAGGGCCGGGGGAGGTCTGGAGCCAGGGGGGCGGGTTCGATTTGTTACGCAGTTGTGTGCCTGGTGTTTGGTTTTGATTTGCGTTAGATCATGCGGATTTTACACTGCGACTCCCCTCGCTGGATGACCACCACCGGGCCTGCTGGAGCCTCAGCGGGGGGCCGCGCGATGGGGAAGGGCTGGGCTGGACATGAGGCGCCGGCTCCTCGGCTGGGAGAGCTCTGAGAACGACTATGATTTACACCAGCCGAGGATCTGGCCCTGAGTCCTAAGAATTGACTGAGGGACATGAGGGACTGTTGCTATAGATCAGCCAGTTCCCAGCAAGCAGGGAGCCACCTCTCCTCCACGGCTGGCATTGATTGCTCCCTTTGCCGGTAGGCTCAACGGAGAACCCCAGTGCTCAACTGGCCACAGGGCATGAACTCCCCTCTTGTGCCTCAACGGAGCCTGGACGAGTGCTGCAGAGGACAGGTGCCTTGCTTATGTCTGTTTCTTGGATAAATCAGCAGACGCGACCGGCCGTGCTGGTGACATGGGCCCGTGCACCTGCTCAGAGCTGTCCCACGAAGTCCTCATTCAGTTTTCACACCAGCAAAACTCCCAGTGACTTTCATCGCAGGCATGTCCCAAGAGCTGCTGAGGGCCCCCAGCTCCCAGTGACGTCAACGGGGAGCTGTTGGCTCTTCTCAGGATTTGACCCATGTGAAAGGACCTGTCCTGTTCTCACCAGTGTAAATCAGGAGCGACTCTACCGGCACCAATGGAATTACACCAGGGTGAAAATCCGTGCCTGGAAGATCCGGAGCAAGCCAGTTGGCATTTGCATCAGTGTGAAAGGGGGATCTGAACCAGGTTCGGAGTAAGGGTTTCAGGCCTATTTCTCCTCTCACCACAGATTTAAACCAGGCTCCGGGTGTGATCCTGCTCTCGGTACGGGTGGTTTTTGCTCTGCTGGAACGCCGTGACGTCACTCGCGTTGCTCCTGATTTACCTCTGCGTAGCTAAGGTCAGAGGCAGGTCCTTCCTGGGCGGCAAAGCCACGGCGTGCGTTGCTTTTAGATTGGACGGTCACCTGCAGAAATGGCGGATTCGTAGCCCCAAGAGAACGCAGCACCCATCTCCTTCGGCCCCCTCGCAGTGGGTGCGTCCCCTCGGCTGTCTCCGTCCTTGCTCCCAGTGCTCAGGGAGCCAGGCCCGGGAGGCCCAGACAATGGCTCACATCGCCAGTCATTGCTTAGGAATTGCTGACAAAAGAGCAGCAGCTGGAATAATGCACCCGCACACACGCACACACAGACAGAGAGCGAGACAGACTTTGGCAAGCCAAATAGCAATTTCACAGGCAGCTGAGGGAGCCCCGAGAGCTGCCAGCCAATGAGGCTGGTGATGTGGCATTATTAAGGGATTAGCAAGTTGTCTCGGCTCTCAATTGTAGATAAGTGCCCCAGTTTGTATTATCTTTTCACGCTGCACCGCGAAGGATGACAAAGAAACAACATGGGTGTCATGGCCTTCAGAATATTATTAAGCGTAATTTGACTTGCGGGGGGAAGGGGGGGGGAGAGGTGGAAGAAGGAGAGAAAAGGAAGAAGAGGAGGAAGAGGGAAACAAAACCAGCCCAGGAGGAGTGAGTGGGATTAAAACTAAGGAGAGAAGATTAGGAGTGAAATATGAACTCTATTCAGAGTCAGTCAATCAGGGGAAACGAAAATCTAAGAGGGGGTGGCTGGGCCCTTCGGAGAATGCCAAAGGCAGGCTTAAGCCACCAGCAGCTGTTCTGAGCCACACGAAGGGCTCTTAGCAGGTAGCAAAAGCTCTGCTGTGCAGATGATACCCAGTGGCAGCCACAGATTTGGTTTTTGTGGCTCTCATTCGGCCCCCTTTATTTTTAGTAAGGGAGATGGGGGGGTTCGTTTTCCCCCCCGTGTTGGGGCTGGGTGGGGATGGACTGCGTCCGAATTGCCAAGGCAGCCCCATGGAACCAGGCAAGGGCTAGATCCCCATGGCAGGCAGGGGAATGGGACCTGATCCTATGTGCTCACTTAGCCAATGTCTCACTGAGATACCTGGCCTGACCCGGCCGGCACCCTGGGGTAAATCTGGAGTAACGCCCCGGAAGGCAGCAGAAGTTACCAGGGTGCCAGAGAGGAGGCTCAGACCTGAGCCAGGAGACCAGCCAATCAGCCAAGCACAGCGGTGACAGCAGTGCCGCTGTTCGGATTCTGGGAGCTCCGGGAGGCCCCGTTGCGCTTGGCGCTGCACGTGCTAGAGAGCTTGGAGAATGCCTACAGAGGGGGAACCACTTAGCACTTGGTACCTAGGGTTCTTACACTAGCATCAGTGCTGGGGGCCCCCAAGTTATCTCCTGGGAGACTGATTCTGATCACACTCATGCCACTGGGAATCAGTGTGGTCACACTGGTGTAAAGCCAGGGCAAGGCCCCAGAATCAGTTCTGATGAGTTCTCTCGGGTCTCAGCCTTTTCCCTATGAGCAGGTTCCTGCTTGGAGCAAGGACAGAGCCTAAAACAGAGCCTCAGCTGGGGTAAACTGACTTCCATGGAGCCAGGCTGATTCAGGATCTGACTCTCCGTTTTGTTCCTGTCTTAAGCTGATGGATGGATGTTTGTTTTTTAAGTAGGATTCTGACTCAAGTCAACTTCTGGTGAGGCTCAGCTCAGTGGATGGATCCCAGCCTGGATTTATTAGTCACTTTCTGATGTGATGATGCATCCGATTCACTCACCCAAAGATAAGATCGGGCACAGCTGGTGGGATGGATAAAGGCTGCACGGCCCTGGGAGCTTTTTTCTTCCTGGCATAAAAGAATTCTGAATCCACCCTCAGCCCCATACCGCCTCGGCCTCAGTCGTACGTATTAATCTATAATAATAAGCAGCCATTCTGCCCTGTGTCAGCTGCAATAAGATGCACAACAGAGAAATTGAGTGAAGCCATTTTCCCCTTTCATGACTGACTAACCATTTTCATCATTCAGGGACCCTGGGGTTTGGCTGAATTTGCAGCTGAACAGGACAGCCCCCTCTTGCAATCCGCAGGAGCAACCCAGTGTGAGTGGCCCTCCGCCCGGAGATGGGAAAGGAGGAAGGTCTCTCTCTCTTTCTCTCTCTTTTCATGGAGGTTGAGGTGCATCTTCACTCCTTCCTCCTGGGATGATCAAAGGGAGTTAGTTTTTCTTCACAAGCACCTGTTGGGGATGGTCTAGATATTAATTAGTCCTGCCATGAGTGCAGGGGACTGGACGAGATGACCTCTCGAGGTCCCTTCCAATCCTACGATTCGATGATTCTATGTGCTTCAGTGACTGGGGTGTGACTGGGAAGTGTTTTGTTTTTTTAAAGACCACAGTCTGCTCTCATTCTGGAGTGACTCTACTCAGTTCACTGGGGAGTGACTCTGGATTTAGTGGTGTGACTGAGAGCAGTATGTGGTCCATGATTGCAATCTAGCAGGCATTGGACCTCCACTTACTTATTTCAGTCACTTACTCAATAACTCCACTGACTTACCTGGCATTATTGTTACACTTCACTGGGGTGAGTCAGAGGAGAATCAGGCCCATTAATCTCAGTGGAGTTACTCCTGATTTACACCAGGCTGAGTGAGAGGAGATTCAGGCTCCACATGCCCATGGAAAGGCAACAATGCAAATAGGATGCCGATTGCTCAAAGACTGGCAAGACGCTGACCTGGCGAAATCAGACCTGCCTCCGAATCTAAGGACTGAAGCAATCGTGTCTTCTGCCTGGGGGCCATCGCGCCTGAACTCCGCCACGCTGAGCGTGGTGTGCGAGCCAGGCCCTGCCCCAAAGGGTCTACAACCTAAACCACCAAACCCGAGAAAAGGCAGTCTGCTCGTCCCCCCTGGACGCAGAGAGGCCACTGGTGCCCTTTTCAAAAGCGCCTCCGTGACTTAGGAGCTGAAGTGCAATTTTCAAAGGAGACGTCGGCATTTTTTGAAAGCGCCTCCCAAAGCTCAGGCCAGCAGACCGTGCTAGAGGTGAGAATTTAACCCAGCTTGCCAAGCCCGAGGCCCAGTGCTTAATTTGTGCCAGGGCTGAGCCCCGGCACCTCTAGGCTTGGCAGTTTCTAGCCTTGGCACTTAGGCGGTTCATAGCCCCGGCACCTCTGGGCTTGGCGGTTCCTGGCCCTGGCACCTCTGGGCTTTGCTGCATCAGTTAGGAATGTAAAAAAATTACTTGAGCCCTGGCACCTCTTTCGTTACAAATTAAGCCCTGCCAAGGCCAGTGCCCTAATCACCAGCGCTCTCCCCGCTAGTAATTTTCACCCTACCTTGCTGACCTGGGGAGGTTTGGAGGCAGAGGCAGTCAGCTCCTGCTGGAGAGACACGGCTGAGGACTTGCCAGAAGGTCCTACACTGGTGGCTGCAGCTGCCGGGAGTAAGCAAGGGGGGTGGGGGTGGGGGGCAGGTCAACAGCACAAGACCCGGCTTTGGCAGGCAGAAAAAAAAATTCCTTTTTTGTGTTCTCCCCTCTTTCTTCTTCATCTTCTATTTCCCCCCCACACCCCGCCCCTTCCTGGAGCTTTATTGTAGCCACGATGTTATTTCAGCGTTTGCATATTATTGGCAGCAGTGGCTCTTGGCTTCCCCGCTTGTTAGTCACAGCCTGACAATGCGAAATCAGTAATGAAGCATGACAGGTTTCATCCAGCTCAGAAGCGGTCATTGCAGCTGCAGAGTTCCAAGAACCACACGGGGGAGAAATACGTGCCCAACTTCTGGCTTCTCCTAACTTTCCTGCCCGGGCTTGGCAGGTTGAGAACATGAAGGAAGCAGCCACAGATGGAGACCGTTGCAGAACTGAGCCCCGAGCAGGGAGGGTAGATGGGTTCCTAAGATGGGCAGTGGGGTGGGCCATCAGGCAGTCAACAGAACGGAAATGATGTGCGGTCTGTACATGCTGCTACCCCATGCAAACAAATTGGCTGGGGCCAGGAGCGAGGCTGCGCTGAAGCCTGCAGCCATGTCAAGAGGAACGTCAACCAGGTCATAAAAGTTCTTTTGGGAGGAGTCATGTCCCCCTTCATCCCCAGCCAGCAGCTTGTTCTCTGTCGGCCTCGTGTCCTCGTTTGTATAGTTGCAACGTGATGGGTGAAGCGCTACCAGTCTGAGCTGGTTGCATTTTGTGCCCTAGTGGAGCAAAGGACTGCGAAGTGCAGGCCAATGGTGAATTACCCAGCTGGCCGGGGAGAGGAGCTCAAGAACCCAGGGCCCTATTCTCTGTTGTCGTATGGCCCCTTTGCGCCAGCTAGATTGGTGGAAAGAGGCTGTAGATGAAGCATAAGGCCTCCCCAGGAGGAATACCCACCCCCTGGCGCATGGAGCCCCTGAATTGTCTCTGCAGGAAGTCCAGACACATGGGGCATCCTGAGGCAGAGGTGGAGTGAAGATGTGGCCAGGACAGACCCAAGTCCTTGCAATTCTGTGTCTCTGTAGTGGCCCCATAGTGGTCACCAGAGTTGCGGGTGCAATGTAGGTTAGTCACAGGGGCAGCTCTCTCCTATGCCAGGTGCCACACTGGTCCTCACAGACCTAAACAGGGGAGGTGCAAGCTGGCACCTCTGCCAGCACAGTGAAGGGTCAGCTGCCCACCCCGTGCCTATGTTTCCAAGTGTCGCCGCTGAGCGGTTCTCTCTCAGCAGACTCAGACAGGCCATTGCAGGATCAGGCCTTCGACTGCCAGCGGGCTTGACTTGAAGCCAGGGATTCAGGGCGCTCAAGGATCTGGCCCAGTGAGCAGCCTGACATGATCAAGGTGGATCATTTGCCAGGGGGTTGGGGCGTTTTACAAGCAGATCAAATCCAGCCCCTTCCCCCAGGAAATATAGGCTAGTCTGGGCACCCGGCCAAAAAGGGGGGAAAGCCATAAGTTACTCAGCCTAGTTTTGGAAGCTTGGGTTTGATTTCTGAGTGACAATTCACACCGGGCAGAGCTTAATCCAGCACTAATTCACATCAGCTGGCATTCAGAGGAGCCCAAGAATTTAGGCACCCAACTCTCATGGGGACTGAATTGCTTGCTTCTGAGTTGCCATGGCTGGCAACTCCTAGATAACTACACCGTTGTAACAAGTGATGAGCCTGACCCAACCCACTACCTCCCCAGTCCGAACCCCTACAGGGCTTTTTCACACCTGGACCTGGATCCAAATTCCACAACTGGAGCCTCTGTCTGAGTACAACAGCTTGTTTTGTTGTGTGTTATAAAATTACTCCACCCCAGGAGCTCTGACGTCCTGTGT